GTATCTTTTGCTATCCTGAACTGGAAGTGATCTCCTAATATTCATTCTTAATCATCTTCAATCTGTTTTTTAGATCATTGCCAAAGTAATCTTCTAAACATGGAACTGATCATATAGGTTGGTCCTTAGTCATTTACTTCACCCTTGTCCAGTCACAATCTAGGCCTTTGCTCATGTTCTACCTGGATCCCTTTACCTTTATTTGCCGACTGAATTGTCTACTCATTCTTTCATCATCCCTTTCCCTGAGATGCATTGTTCACTTTTCCCTCCAGAGAACAAATGTCTTATACTTTTCTGTTCTTGCAGCATTTTACTTAGGCCTTAATTATGTTACTTATAATGTATTAAGACCATTTGCCTTATGTATTTGTCTCCCGGTTCTAATTTCAGTTCCAAGAACATTTGGATGGTATCAAAGTAATTTTCTAATTTTATGAGACTAGAACAATGGCTCATAACTAATGGCATTAGGTGTGTTCTATGAATGAATTGAGCCACCCATAAAAGAAGTCTCAGATTTTCAGCAGACACTTACTTTCTGCTTGACCCTTGTCATTATACTCAGTGCTAGGGATACCAATTCAAACAAGCATAGTCCTCCTTGCAGGATACTCATTAATTTATTGTTTTATGTACTGGTTTAATATATACTACATTTAACATCTGTGTGTCAGTATTGTGATTTGTTGTATATCCTGACTCCTCCTTAGAGCATAATTTTATCATTAATTCAGGAGAATGCACTAGATGACGTAGAACACTTACCATTGTTGACTATTACTAGGTTTTTAATCTCTTGATAACAGGAATCACGTCTTTCACTTCTACTGGAAGCTTACATAGGGCAAAGTATAGTGTCTCACACTCAGTGGTTGATTAGAAAATTTTAAAGAAAGAAGTAACATCAGTGAATGCTTCAAATGAATTTGATTCTATTCTTTACTCCATTGATCTTGTTTTGTCCCTTTCTGTGCTTCATAATATCTGTATTTCCTTGATCTAGCTCAGTCTCAACTTCTGTGTCCTGTTTTTAATATGCATACATACATATATACAGGGTAGGGCAAAAGTAGGTTTATAGTTGTGAGTACACGAAACAGTTTATTTTTGTATTATTTTTTATGAATTATTATTTTTCACATGAATGACTGTAAACCTATTTTTGCCCCACCGTGTATGTATTTTTTTATTATTTCTTTTAACAACCCCAAGAAGAAGGTAAAGTAGTCATTTATCTCCATTTTTCAACTGAGGAAACTGAGTTTTCAAGATCATAGCTGAACAGCAGTAGAATCAAACTCAGTCCCAGGTCACCTGTCCCCAGATCCAGTGTACTTTCTTGTCTCCATGAAGGCTTTTTCCAGATCTAAGTGCCTGTGATACCCACCTATTAAAACAGCATCTCAGGGATTTTGGGAAAGTCACAGAAATATGCTAACTTTCACATAATGGGAATTAATTGGTGAGATCATAGAGTCTCAGGACTAGTGAGAAAGTTGAGCATCAAGCTGGGAAATAGAAGCCAGGGTAACTCCTGAAGTTCCAGATGCAGGACCTGAAGAGGCCCACCACAAAGGGACCAAACTCCAAGTGATTCCAGCCTCTGCTCAAGATTCAGAGCAAAGGAGGAGTGTTCTGTTAGCATGGCTTAAGTCTTCTCTGTCCTTTGGTTAGTGCAGTGACATTTGGGGTTACAACTGGAGGAGATTGCTACTGGCATCTAGTAGGCAGAGGCCAGGAATGCTACTAAATATCCTATAGTGTCAGCCCCCAATAACAAAGAATTAACCAGTCCCACATGTCAGTGGTGCTGAGGTTGAGAAAGCCTGGATTTGATTAATAGTCCCAGCAGACTGTCATATTGGAGGCAGGAGGAAACTGAATCCCCTTCCCCAAAAAGGTGGAATAGATGCTAGATGGCCAATAACAGCACCAAAACAAAAAAGTGCTACAAACTAGGGCAGTAATTCCAATCCTGAAATGTGAAGATGAATTACATGTTTGTAAATGTAGTGCTTGAGGTGGTTCAGAAAAAAAGAACATTCATAAAATATTTGAAATCTAAACTTAGGCTCCAAAAAGACTCTAGTGATTATTTATGTTTAAAAGGGGTTTTTGAAATGAAACATAAATTGTTATATACAGTAACCTATAAAGAATGTATAATATGTGCATATTTAACTCACTGCTAATTTAGGTTTTTGAGGGGAATTGTGAACAAAAACCCAGAATGAACCACACTCAGAATCAAACTGTCACTAACTGTGAATTAAACTACAGTGGAACCTCGGTTCTCAAACTTAATCAGTTCTGGAAGGTTGTTCCAGAAGCGATTTGTCCAAAAGCCAAATCATTTTTTTCCCATTAGAAAATGGGAATTGAATTAATAAGTTCCAGACCCCCAAATGATTCTGTTTTAACCTTTCTTTTTTTATTTTATCCTCACCGGAGGACATTTTTCCATTTTTTGTTCAGGTAGAGTGGGAGGGAGAGAGAGGAACAGAGAGAGAGAGAGAGAAACATCGACGTGAAGGGACACATCGAGTGGCTGCCACCCGCACAACCGACCAGGGCCGGGGACAAACTGCAACCAAGGTACGCGCCCTTAGCGGGAACCAAACCCGGGTCTCTCAGGACCGCAGGCCGACACTACAACCGCTGAGCCAAACCGGCCAGGGCTTAACCTTTCTTATATACAGTACATATCTAATGTACTATTTAATCTATAAACAAACAATTAACGAACCACCCCCTACTAGCCTTAAATGAATCACTTTCAGGGTGTCTTTCAGGAGGTCAGTATGCAGCATCTTCCTTTTTTCCCATGCAACATTAGCACTTTTTTTTTTTATCCTCACCTGAGAATATTTTTACATTTTTCTTCAGATAGAGTGGGGGAGAGAGAGAGAGAGAGAGAAACATCGATGTGAGAGAGAGACTTCAGTTGATTGTCACCTGCGCTATCCTGACCAGGGCCAGGGACGAACCGCAACCAGAGTACATGCTGTTGTCCGGAATTGAACCTGGGACTCCTTGATCTGCAGGCTGATGCTCTAACCAGGAGCCAAACCAGCCAGTGCAACATTGGCACTCTTGATGGCCTCTTTATGTTTTAAAATTGTGCTAATCATCCATTTCACCAGCAACAAAAGAAAAAAATTCAAAGCACAGTTTCCTGAGATGTTAACGTGAGGTTTAACAGTAAATTCACTTGCATTCTCTCCTTGTGGCCTGAGAGATGCTTTTTGTTATGCTGATGTATCAGCATGAAAGGGCTGTCAGATTGAGAACTGAAGTTTTGTTCAATGACTGAGATATTTTTCCATGAACAACTTGGTTGAAACTGAATTGTTTGAGATGGTAGACATTCGAGAACCAAAGTTTAACTGTGTAAAGCATTTTTCAGAGAACTCCTAGTTTAAAATGGAACACCCTGCCCTGGCTGGTGTGGTTTAGTGGTTAGAATGTTGGCCCATGGACCGAAGGGTCACAGGTTTGATTCTCAGTCAAGGGCACCACCCGTGTTGCAGGTTTTATCCCCGACCCCAGTCAGGGTGTGAATGGGAGCAACCAATCGATGTGTCTCTGTCACTTCTATGTCTCTTTCTCTCGCTCTCCTTCCCCTTCTTTTCCCTCTTCTTTCTACTCTATCTAAAAATATCCTTGGGAGAGGATTAACAAAATAATAATAATAATGATGATAGCCCTGGCCAGTTTGGCTCAGCAGTGGAGTGTCGGCCTGCGGACCAGTGTGTCCCAGGTTCTGTTCCCGCTAGGGGCATGTACCACAAAAAAAATAAATAATAAATAAAATAAAATGGAAAAGCCTATTCTTTTGAACTATTGAAGTCAAACACGACTAGAATATAATTATATTCTCCTAATGGAGAAAAAATTTATTCTTCAAACTGATTTAAGCCAGCACTTAATTTGATTTGGATCCATAGACAATTTACCACCCTGGCCAGTTTGGCTCAGCGGTTAGAGCGTCGGCCTGCGGTCCGGAGAGACCCGGGTTCGGTTCCCGCTAAGGGCATGTGCCTCAGTTGCAGTTTGTCCCCGGCCCTGGTTGGTTGTGCGGGTGGCGACCACTCGATGTGTCCCTTTCACATCGATGTTTCTCTCTCTCTCCCTCTCTCTCCTTCCCACTCCACCTGAACAAAAAATGGAAAAATGTCCTCGTGAGAATAAAAAAAAAAAACACACAAAAAAAACATAGACAATTTACCATGGCTGTTTACTAATTACTTAGTTATAGGAAAAATGTTTCACATTATACCTGATTTTAGTATGATATTTAGCAAAGGACCCTTTTGCTTGTTAGCAACCTTGGATGTTGCTGGTCCATAAAAATGTTGAAGCCCTGGCTGGTTTGGCTCAGCAGTTAGTGCGTCGGCCAGACCAGGGTTTGGTTCCCGCTAAGGCACGTACCTTGGTTGTAGTTTGTCCCCGGCCCCAGTTGGGGTCGTATGGGTGGCAACCAGTCGATGTATCTCTCACATAGACGTTTCTCTCTTTCTCTTCCTCTCTTCCCTCTCTTTCTCCAGCGCTATCTGAAGATAAATGCAAAAAAAAAAATGTTCTCGGGTGAGGATTTAAAAAAAAAATGTTGAGGATTGTGGATCTGTGGGATGTGTGGTCTATGTTAGAATTTCTCCAACAGCTCACCTTGTTCTTTGTCTAGACAGTAATTAGTTTTAAATCCAAGGAGGAGATTGACTCAGCCCAAATTTTCCTACCTTCCTTCTAAAAGTACTCACACTGTTTGAGTATGGGCCACATGCTCGTACTGGCTTATTTTGCTTTTGTATTTTGTAATGCCTTTGCTGTACCAGACCTGTTTACTACCCCAAGGAAGTGTGGAAATGACAAAAATCTTTTTCCCTGCCCTTCTGACACTCCTCCTGCATCTCCCGGCTGTGCACTGAGCAAACCTCTCACTGCCTGTGGTCAGTAGCCTCAGGCCTCCATTCTCATCTTGGTAGGTGTCATTTCAGGTGAATCACTGTCTCCCAGAGAAGATTGTGGTGTATCGTGATGGAGTGTCTGACGGCCAGCTAGAGACAGTTGCCAACTATGAGATTCCTCAGCTACTAAAGTGTTTTGAAGCTTTTGAGAATTACCAGCCCAAGATGGTGGTATTTGTAGTTCAGAAGAAAATCAGCACTAATCTGTACCTGGCTGCTACGGAGCACTTTGCAGCTCCCTCTCCTGGGACTGTGGTGGATCACACAATCACAAGCTGTGAGTGGTAAGTAGACAAAACGTGACATTCCAGCAATAGGTTGCAGAAGTTATCCATTCCCTGCGTATTGGAATGGGTAGGTTTCCTGGAGAGATGTGAAATGGAATCCTCAGAGATTTTACTGTTAAAAAAAATAGTTTTAATGGAGATGTAAAATACAGCATAGGAAATATAGTCAATAATATTGTAATAACTATGGTGTCATTTGGGTACTGGAAATATCAGGGGAACACTTTGTAAAGTATGTGATTATCTAACCACTATGCTGTACACTTGAAACTAATATAAAATAATATTGAATATAAACTGTAATTGAAACAAAAGTACAAAATACATATGTGTTTCCATCTTTTAAAAAAGTAAAACTTTAAAAACTATTAGAAAAAAAATAAACCAACAATAAAATGTTTACCTCTTAGGTATAAACTATTGAACATACATTCTTCTTTTTAAGATCATACATGTTTAACATCCCACATACAGAACATTAGTTTCTACCATGATTTTTGAATAGCCTGTTGAGTCAGGAGACCTGAGTTCTAATTATGGTTTGGTCCCTGTGTGTCCTTAAGCCAGTTATTTGACCTCGCTGAGCCTTAGGTGAAGGAACTACAATGATCTTCAAGAACTTTTTGTCTCTGTTTGAATGCGACCATATCATTGCTTTTTCCTTTTTCCTTACTAGGGTGGACTTCTACCTTCTTGCCCATCATGTACGGCAGGGTTGTGGCATTCCTACACATTATGTGTGTGTGCTCAACACTGCAAATCTGAGCCCTGATCATATGCAGAGGTGAGCTGACCAGCAACTCTCTTTCTCACTCTGACCAGCTAGCTAAGGTAGTCACTGCCCACCTCCAGGAATATTTACCCCTTGAGTTTCTTTTTTTTTTTTTTATCCTCACCTGAGGACATTTTTTCATTTTTGTTCAGATAGAGTGGGAGGGAGAGAGAGAGAGAGAGAAACATCGATGTGAAAGGGACACATCAAGTGGCTGCCACCTGCATGACCCAACCAGGGCCGGGGACAAATTACAACCAAGGAATGTGCCCTTAGCGGAAACCGAACCCGGGTCTCTCCAGACTGCAGGTCGACGCTCCAACTGCTGAGCCAAACTGGCCAGGGCACCCCTTGAGTTTCTTTATGTCTTTCATGATAATACTTTTTTTAAAAACATTTTTTCTTTATTGATTTTAGACAGGAAGGGAGAAGGAGAGAGAATTAGAAACATCGATGAGAGAGAACATCGGCTGGGCAATAATAATGCTGTCTCTTTGAGGAGTGATTGGTAATTCTGTACATTAAATTTACTTGAAGAATTTTAAAAAATACTGATGCCGCCCTGGCCGGTTTGGCTCAGCGGTTAGAGCGTCGGCCTGCGGTCCCAAGAGAGACCCTGGTTCGGTTCCCGCTAAGGGCATGTACCTCGGTTGCAGTTTGTCCCCGGCCCTGGTTGGTCGTGTGGGTGGCAGCCACTCGATATGTCCCTATCATGTCGATGTTTCTCTCTCTCTCTCTCTCTCCCTCTCTCTCCCTCCCGCTCTACCTGAACAAAAAATGTCCTCGGGTGAGGATAAAAAAATAAATAAATAAATAAATAAATAAATAAATAAATAAATAAATAAATAAATAATAATAATAAATAAATAAATAAATAAAAATAAAAAAAATACTGATGCCCAGGCTTCACGCCAAAGCATTCTGTGAGGCATTTATATTTTTAGAAACTGTTCTTGATTATTATGAGATGCAGTCTAAGTTGATATCCAAAGCCCTTAAACTCAGAAAATACTTTGCTGGGGTACTTAACCTTCTGCAGCCTGTTCTTAAGGCAAAAAAAGTCTTGTTTTCCTTGTAGGGGCACCTAAAGTGAGGGAATTTACCCAACTCATCTTGACTTGCAAGTGGTGGAAATAGAAACAATTCTACTTAAAATAATGATTCCAGTCCTGGCTGGGTATCTCACTCAGTTTGCATGTCCTCCTGATACACCAAGGTTGCGGGTTCAATTCCCCCATTCAGGGCACATACAAGAATCAACCAATGAGTGCATAAATAAGTAGAACAGATCACTGTTTCTTTTTCTCTCTCCCTCCCTCCCCCTATCTCCCTCTCCCTCCTCCTATCTCCCTCCCCCTCCCCCTCTCTTTCTAAAATCAAATCAAATAAAAAACTTCAGCCCAGCTGGTGTAGCTCAGTGGTTGAGCACCAAGAGGCCTCCAGTTCAATTCCCAGTCAGGGCACATGCCCAGGTTGTGGGCTCATTCCCTAGTGGGGGGCATGCAGGAGGTGGCCAGTCGATGTTATCTCTCATCAATGTTTCTATCTCTCTCTTCCTCTCTCTCTAAAATCAATAAAGAAAAAAAAATTTTTTTAAGTTCAGTTTAAAAAAGTTATCCCCAAAAATTGTCATATAAAAAAAATTTTTTTTAAAAAGATGCATCATATATTCCTTAGTCCCCCGGTTTGCTGGAAAATATGCACCCATAAGTACATAATCATGTCCTAGAATGAAGGTGGAAAGTAATAAGGATAATATTTTCTTCTTGGCCTGCAGGTTGACTTTCAAACTGTGCCACATGTACTGGAATTGGCCTGGTACCATCAGAGTTCCAGCTCCTTGCAAGTATGCCCACAAGCTAGCTTTCCTGTCAGGACAAATCTTGCATCATGAACCAGCCATTCAGCTATGCGAGAACCTGTTCTTCTTGTGACTGGAAAACCAGGATATGGGCTGATTAGAGGAATTACACTTCTGAATGTAGCTGTGACTCATGCAGGATCAAGAGATTGAGGGATTTTTGTGTTGCTAGTTTTCCCTTTTGCCAACCCAGTAGAATAAGATACATTTTTTCCCTATTTTTTCTACTTTAAAGCTGGTATTACCAAAAGGCAAGTTCCATTCTAAGTATCAGCTGGAAATTGCCATTTTGCCTTTGCAGAGCAAATGGGGGTGATATTGCTACAGTGTAGTTGGAGTGGGTGCATATGGGGAACCTTTAAGAGCCTGCAAAGTCAATAGGAGCCATAGAAACCTGCAGAAGCAGCAATTAAACCTGGAAGCTCTGCTTACTAAGCAGTTCTCATTTCTGGCACCAGAAGTGATAATGGCCCTGGCCGGTTTGGCTCAGCAGTTGGAGTGTTGGCTTGCAGTCCCGAGGGACCCGGGTTTGGTTCCCGCTAAGGGCATGTACCTCGGTTGCAGTTTGTCCCCAGCCCTGATTGGGTCATGCGGGTGGCAGCCACTCGATGTGTCCCTTTCACATCGATGGTTCTCTCTCTTTCTTTCTCTCCCTCCCACTCTATCTGAACAAAAAAATGGAAAATGTCCTCGGGTGAGGATAAAAAATAAATAAAAAAGAAAAAGAAGTGATAATGAAGTCACCACAAGTTTCTTAAAGTAGAGAATTACTTTATTTGGGCAACTGGGAAAGGTAATAAAAAGGCCAAGGAGGCAGTTTTTTAAGATATTGCTGTTGCTGGCAAGTGTGACCTGCCCTGGGCAGGGATCAAACCTGCAACCCAGGTACGTGCCCTTGACAGAGAATTGAACCCACAACCCTTTGGTCACAGGGCCGACACTCTAACCGCTGAACCAGGGCTTAATTTTGTTTTAAAAGCCAATTTTATTTTGCCTTTTCAAATTTGCATTATTTTTTGGTGTGATGGCAGGAGGGGATGAAGCAGACATTCCCATTTTATATGAGAGTGTGTAAGAAGATAATCTTTACCTTAAAACTCCTCAGAAGAAGAAAACCAACCAAATTGTCAGTTTGTTGCAGAGCCCAGCAGAGGTTGAGAAGCCCTGGTGTTGATGGTCCTCAAGTGTCCTTTAGTGGTTTTTTGTTTGCTTGGTTTTTTGTTTTTTAATATCTTCATTGTTGAAAGTATTACAGATAGCCCTCTTCTCTCCCCCCTTCCTTTGATATCCCCCTAGTATATTCTGGTTTCATTTGGAGTGTGGCTCATAAGGTCAGGTAAAGACCTGGAATTTTAAAACCACTGAATCACACAAATTGGAGCACTGGTCTCTGTCAGTTTTCTGATTCTCTTTGAATCATTTCAATTTGAGTTTCTCTTTGAAAGTTGAATTTCTTAATACTCATTTTCTTTTATATAATAAAAACACACAAATACTTGAATATAATACAAAATTTCTTCACTTTTTATTCCTGGTTTTCTTGTGTTGTTTTTCAGTTTGTTTGTTTGTTTGTTTTTCATCTTTATTGTTGAATGTAGAATGTATTACAGATGTTCCACATTTTTGCCCCATTGACTCCCTCCTCCCCACTCCTGCCCCACTCCCGCCTTTTCCCACACTGTTGTCTGTGTCCATTGGTTATGCATATAAGTTCTTTGGTTTATTTCTTCCCACCCCCCCAACCCCTTTCCCTTTGAGGTTTGTCAGTCTAGCAATCAATTTGTACTTCTTAATCCCCTCACCTTTTTCACCCATTCCCCCAACCCCCCTCCCAACTGGCAACCAACAAAATGTTCTCTGTATCTATGAGAATGTTTCTGTTCTACCTGTTCATTTTGTTTGTAGATTCCATTGTCGATAGATATGTATTCATTGCCATTTTGTTTGTTCATATATTTTATCTTTTTCTTCAAAAAGACCCTTCAACATTTCATATACTAACGGTTTGGTGGTGATGAACTCCTTTAACTTTTTCTTGTCTGGGAAAGTCTTTATATGGCCATCGATTTTAAATGATAGCTTTGCAAGATAGAGTAATCTTGGTTGTAGGTTCTTGCTTTTCATCACTCTGAATATTTCTTGCCACTCCCTTCTGGCCTACAAAGTTTCTTTTGAGAAATCAGTTGACAGCCTTATGGGAACTCCCTTGTAGGTAACTAGCTGCCTTTCTCTTGCTGCGTTTAAGATTCTCTCTTTGTCTTGGACCTTTTGCATTTTGGTGATGATGTGTCTTGGTGTGGGTCTCTTGGGGTTCATCTTGTTTGGGACTCTCTGTGCTTCCTGGACTTGTATGTCAGTTTCCTTCACCAAGTTAGGAAAGTTTTCTGCCATTATTGTTTCAAACAGGTTTTCGATTTCTCGTTCTCGCTCTTCTCCTTCTGGCACCCCCAAGATGCGAATGTTGGCACGCTTGAAGTCGTCCCAGAGGCTCCTTACACTCTCATTTTTTTTGGATTCTTTTTTCTTTTTGCTGTTCTGATTGGGTGTTTTTTTGCTTCTTTATATTCCAGATCGATGGTTTGCTTCTTGGATTTACATACTCTACTATTGAGTCTGTGTAAATTATTCTTTATTTCAATTAATGCCTCCTTCAATTCTAACTGTGCATCCATCATTTCTGACTGGTCCTTTTTTTATGCTCTTGAGGCCCTCACTGAGTTCATTGAGCATCCTTATAAGCAGTATTTTGAACTGAGCATCTGTTAGGTTGCTTATCTCCATTTTGCTTAATTCTTTTCTTGGGGTTTTGTTCCGTTCTTTCATTTGGGACCTGTTTCTTTGTCACCTCATTTTGGCTGCCTCCCTGTGTTTCTTTCAGTGTATTACTTAACGAGAGGTATGGGGCTAGCTCAGACCAGATGCTGCTCGTTTGAAAGAATTTAGGAAAAACCTGAAGCAGGATCCAAGACTGGTCAATCCTATGGTTAAGCAAGTGGCAACAGCTTGGGTGGGCCTGAAAGTTGGGTGGCGTGGGGCGGGGCCTCAGGGAGTCACCAGGGCGGGGCTACCAGTGTGAGCCTGGTTGCTGGAGTCCCAGATTTGGTGGCTGTCTGCCACCCCAGGGAAGGGCTCACCAAAGGAACAAAGGCCTTTGACAGCATGTCTGTCCCAGAGAAAGCCCCCTCTCCAGCCCTCGCTCCAGTGCCAAGCAGCTCAGTTCTTCCCTGTATGTCTCTGGTGCCCCTCGAGCTGCCTCCCCTCCAAGCTTAGAGGGAGAGAATCCGATAAGTTCGTGCGCAGGCCCTTTAAGGAGTTGCCTGGTGCTCCAGCTGCTTCAGCTTCCCTGAGCCTGAGTTCCTGCTGGTTTTTCCAGCCAGAAGTTATGGGGATTCTCTTCCTGGCACTGGGACCCTGAGCGGAGCACCGGGTGTGGAACTCGGACCCCTCACTCCTCAGGAAGGACCTTCCCAGCCGGGGTATCCTCCTGATTTTTATCCGCCACACGTGGGTGTGGGACCAGCCCTACGCGCCTCCGCCCCTCCCACCACTCTGGATGTGGCTGCTGCTTTAATTCCGTAGTTGTAGGACTTCGATTCAGCTTGATTTCAGGCAGTTTTGAATGACAGTTTTTCTGTAGTTTAGTTGTAATTCTGATGTGGTTGTGAGAGGATGCGATACCGCGTTTACCTACGCCGCCATCTTGACCGGAAGTGCCTTATTTTTATTTATAAATTTGAGACAGAGGGAGAGAGAAAAACATTGATTTGTTGTTCACTCATTTATGCATTCATTGGATGACTCCTGTGTGTGTGTCTTGACCTGGATTGAACCCACAACCTTGATATATTGGGACGATGCTCTAACCACCTGATCTATCCAGCCAGGGCAAGGAAGACATTTTCCAAATGACTAGTACCTTATATTGAAAATATTAAAATTTGTGCCTGAAATTTCTCAGTGATTTGGGATTATTGAAGACCCTACTCTCTCTTTGTAGCTCTATATTTGAGTTTCTTAGTAACTTTTTCTGTCTGGACTTTCTTTCTTTAAAAAATGAGGAAAATTAAGAGAATAAAAAGACAAGCCATGGACTGGGTGAAAACATTTGCAAAAGATATTTCTGATCCAAAATATACAAAGAGCTCTTAAAACTTAATAATAAGCCCTGGCTGCCCGGCTGGTGTGGCTCAATGGTTGAGTGTTGACCCATGCACCAAGAGGTCATTGGTTCGATTCCTGATCAGGACACATGCCCAGATTGTGAGCTAAATCCCCAGTGGGGTCATGCAGGAGGTGGCCAATGTTTTCTCTCATCGATGTTTCTATCTCTCTTCCTCTCCCTAAAAATCAATAAAGAAAAAAAATTTTTTTAAGACTCAATAACTGTTTTAAAATAAGAATCCCTGGCTGGTATGGCTCAGTTGGTTGGGTGTTGTACCATAGGAAGCTGCCACTTCGATTCCCAGTCAGGGCACATGCCCAAGTTGCAGGCTTAATCTCTGGTGCAGGGCATGCAGGGTGATGTTTCTCTATCTCTTCCTCTACCTTCCTCTCTCTCTAAAAATTAATTAAAAAAACACAACAACTCACCCTGGCCGGTTTGGCTCAGCGGTTGGAGCATCGGCCTGCGGACCAGAGAGTCCCGGGTTCAGTTTCCGCTAGGGGCATGTACCAAAAAAAAAAAAAAAGAAAGAAAAGAAAAGAAACAAAACAACAACTCAATAATAAGAGTTGGCTGGGTAGCTCAGCTCTGTTGGTTGGAGTGTCATCCCATACACCAAAAGTTTGCAGGTTTGATTCTCAAGGCACATGCCTAGATTGTGGGTTTAATCCCAGTCCAAGTGCATGCGGGAAGCAGCCAGTCAATGTTTCTCTCTCTCTCTCTCTCCCTCTTTCTCTCAAATAAAAAAACATATCCTCTGGTGAGGATTTAAAAAAAAAACACCTCAATAATAAAAAAAAAAAAAAAACCCGATTAAAAACTGGACAAAAGACTTGAACCTACAGGGTTTTTTTTGCCAATTGCGTTCGTTATCTCATACTAAAGAAGATAATACAGGTGGCAAATAAACATATGAAAAGATGCTCAACATCATGTCATTAGAGAATTAACAAATTAAAACGTGGCCTGGCTGGTGTGGCTCAGTGATTGAGTGTCGACCCCTGCACCAAGGTCGCTGGTTCAATTTCCAGTCAGGGCACGTGCCCAGGTTGTGGGCCCAATCCCCAGTGGGGAGCATGCAGGAGGCGGCCATTCTATGTTCTCTCTCATGGTTGTTTCTATCTCTCTCTTCCTCTCACTTCCTCTCTCACTAAAATCAACAAAGAAAAATAAAACAAAATGTGATGCCACTACACACATATTAGAATGGC